GTCGCGGAATGGCGCTATTGATCTTAACATCAAAGATTATCAGATTCCACTAATCCGCACTCAGGCCGCGAATATCAGCTCCAGCATCACCAAATCCTTGAACACAGGCCTGACCCCGTTAGGTCGCCCGCCGCGGCCTTCGCTCGCTGGTCATGATGGGAGGCGCCAGAGGCAGTTATTACAGCGGTCTGATGGCTGCCTGGAACGTCGCCAATCACGCACAAACACACACACATATACACCCACCTGCCCAACCCATATATACACACACACGCATATCCATATACGTATATATATATATATATATATATATATATATATATATATATATATATATATATATATATATATTTATATATATATATACATATATATATACATACATACATACATATATATATATATATATATATATATATATATATATATATATATATATATATATACATAAATATATATTACATATATATATATATATATATACATACATACATATATATACACACACACACACACACACACATATATATATATATATATATATATATATATATATATATATATATATATATGTGGTGTATGTATGTGTGTGTGTGTGTGTAAATATATATATATATATATATATATATATATATATATATATATATATATATATATATATATATATATACATATGTAAAGACACATACACGTGTGTATATATATATGTGTATATATATATATATATAAATATATATATATATATATATATATATATATATATATATATATATATACACACACATATATATATATATATATATATATATATATATATATATATATATATATATATAAATGTAAAGACACACCCACACGTGTGTATATATATGTACACACACACACACACACACACACACACACACACACACACACACACACACACACATATATATATATATATATATATATATATATATATATATATATTTTTTTTTTTTTTTTTTTACACACACATGCACATATATATTCATACACACATCTACATACACATATTTTTGTGCCATCACCGATGCGGTGTTTGACGAACTACTTCGACTTGAAATCATATGGTTGACTGGGTCTTTAAACTGGGGTGGCTGACCCATGATCCTTCCTCAGGGGAAGGCGAAGGATCATGGGAATGCACCCTCGACCTCAGGTTGTCGTGACAATCTTTGAGTACGACGCTCTAACCACACGTCCACCGCGGCCATATATACATATATATGTACACACACACACACACATATGTATATATGACTGCCGCGATGGTTTAATGGTTAGAGCACTGGACTCTGACCCTCATGATCCCGAGTTCAATTCCTCGCCGCGGCAGTCGTAAAAATGCCTGCGTTCCGACTGGTGACATATCACCATGCGAAAGTCAAATACTTATGGATATATAGGTATATATTACAGATAGTGCATCTCGATGAACAACCTTGGGTCCTTCGTAAACGGCTCATTGAGGAAGATATGAACAAAATAGAGACACACGACTTCCATCTAAAGAGGAGTTGAGGCCCAGCCGTTTGTTCGGCTGCACTGAACTTCCAGCAGACGCAAACAATCTGTAGCACCAAACTATCAGATGCACCGATATTTGCTCCGAACAGAAATCCACTGCCCTGCTGCCAGCAGCCTCATCGTGGCCCTGGCAGGGAAAGTAAACGGTTACTTCACCTTGCCCGAGGGAGTCCCGTAGGCTAGCAGAGGGAGGGCGTCTTGGTTCTTTGCTGCTACTCCAGCACACACGTACGCACGCACAAACACGTGTATGTGTGTGTGTGTACGGGTGCAGTGCGTATATGCACGCACATAAACAAAGTGCCACACAAATCACGACCTAAAAACCATGATTAGTGACGAATTGCTTGGCCTTTGCTGATCCGTCTCAAAGATACACCTTTTCCTCGGCTGCCTCCGAACTTCCCGCGCGCGTAGTGGGAACTGCCTCCAACATCACATGGCAGCAATCGCTGTCATACGGAACAGAAACAAACATGCCATTTGTGATTACAAGGTATAAGGATAAGACAAGCATAGACAGTGGCGCTACTGTAATACGCATTCCTTTGTACGTCTGATACTGACTGTGCGTTACATTGTATATTTCCTCTTCTTTTGTTGTAACTTTGTCCCATTATTAGTGCGTATTTATAGTATAATAATCACTTGTTATCTCAGTTTGGCCAAATTCAGCTTCATCTTATCAAAACATCCATTTACCATTTATTTATCATCATTATCATTCATTTACCATTTACCATTTATTTATCAAAAAATAAGGGAAAGGTTAACAAAAAAGAAGAAAGAGTCACGAGATTAGCGATGGCATTCTCCTTAAGGTGGCCATCGGGGAGATTAACCAGGTTTAGAGGATTTACAAGCAGGAAATTGCCACTCACCAACACGTAGACGTCTACAGGCTCGTCGTAAGGTCGGAGTTCCCTGGTAAGAAGGACCGCACGGAACCGGA